GTGCTTTTAGTTAGCACTTTTGACGCTGTTTTTGTGAAATATCTTTTATTTTTCCGTTTAGTACTTTCTTTCTCCGTGTTCTATATTGTTAGCTAGAACTTTTTTGTGTTAATCTTTCCTACGTACCTTGACCGATGTGCTTTTAGCTGGCACTTTAACTTTTTTACTTTAAATATACATGTCTTAAATTCGTATAAATTGTAATATTATCGATGAACAATTAATTATTTTAGTATATGATGTTTAGAATTTTTCTTAACATTTACAGTTACTATACACTAAATGCATTTAACATTTATCTCAAATGTCTGCTATAAGCTAGCTCGATAATTTGAAAGCTTGTTAAATAGTTGTGACCACAAAAATGTAAATATTATAAAATGTTGCTAATTAAACTTTATAATAACTTTTAATAAAACTTACAAGCTTTGAAGTTGATTTTTATGAAGCCATTATTCACTTCATTAACATTTATATCTCTTCGTTTGATATGATATCTATCTCTGAAGTTAAATATTAATTCAGTAGCCGATACTATAATAAATAAGTAATTTATTGTGATTAAAAACATTTTTAAAGATTAAATTTAAAGATTACTTTTTAAAATAAAATATAATTTAATTATGCCATAAATTATTTACCAATGCAAAGTATGTGTTATACATTACTTTAAGGGCCTAACTCAAACAAATATTTGATTTTTGTAAAATTATTAAAATATTTCTTAAGGTCTATTTTGAATCTTTTTTATGAAAACACAAAAAAAGCGTCATTATTTATTTACTGAAGACACATATTGTCTACATGTGAATAAATATTTAACTTTTTTGGTTTCTACTACATATTAAATGATGCTTGTTAATGACATTCATTATTAGTTATTATATATAAAATATATTAACTTCTTCAACAATAATACATATTAGTTAATAAGCTTTATACACAATACAATTTAAAAACCATCAATAAACATATATGTGTATGTAAGTAGACCAAAAATAAATGTTCATCATACCCTCGAGATATACTTGGCAAGATGTAGTATACATATTAAATCAAAACACACAATTATATATAATATTATTATAAATAATTAATTGAAATTTCAACATTTTAATGGTCCATAATTATTTGTTATTATATATAATAAAACAATAATGATCAATACATAGGCAACTCTTTAATTATGCTTGTTTTATTGTATATGTAACTATATTAGCCTACTACAGTAATTCATTAGTCTATTACTTTATATTAAATATAATCACTATACAATGTCTAAATAAGTATTTTTTAATTTTACAGGATTTTAATTGCTACGATGAAATCCAACACGAAACTACCACAATGTCTAAATCAAATTATCCAACAGTGGCAGTTACCGTAGAACATAAGAAACCACCGCTTCCGCCTCCACTAACTCAGCCCACATCATTTGAAGTACACGAAAATTCTATGAATATAGAAGCGGTTCTATTACAGAATCAAGTGGACACATTGCAGTGGCAATTAAAACAGGTTAGTTAGTATAATAAACAATAGAGCTAAGCAACAAACTTCACTTACTATTTAGTTATAAATAAAAACAATATAACAGTGTGTAAAAAAACTTAAATATGCATAAATTAAAATAAATATGTGGATTATTATTTACAAATAACTTTGCGTCCAAAAAGGTAATTAAAAAATACTTACCATTGTTCTCTTCTCTCCAGCATTGTGTCAGGTAGAAAAATACATTTCTGTTCTAGTTTTTTAATTATAATTACAATATTATTCTGCATACCATCACGTATTCAATATAAAAATACTTTACTTTGATGCTTCTGCAACAACATTTAATTAGGCCACTTTAAGATTTTTGCTACATCTTGAGAACATTTTTAAAGTTAATTAAATACCGAATATAAAAAAACGACTGATAGAATTGCTCTTTATTGTCATGCGACTATTTTTTAATAAAAATTTATAGATATAACATATATAACTATAATCTAACCAATAAGTAATAAATAGCAATAAATCCTCAAGTGTTACTCAGATCTTGACTGTCCCCATGGGCCAATAGGCCAAAGTGGATCCTTTTGGATTTCAGGTACAACATAGCCTAACTTAATCATCATAGCCTAACTTAATCATCATAGGCTAACTTAATCATCATAGCCTAACTTAATCACCTCTTGACAGTCACAATAAGCCAATAGGCCTAAGTGGATTCCTTTGGGTTTTCGGTACAACCTAGCCTAACCTAATCATTATTATTGTTGCTGTAAGCATGTTTAAGAAAGTGTGCTATTACTGTGCGTTGTAATTACAATCACGTAAACAATGTTAATACTAATACTCACCAGAATCGCACATCTTTAATAAGATAGTATGATCAATAAACTAATGCCAGTTTTATAAAAATTCATGATATCTTAGATAATCACGTTATTAGTCATTAAAATCTCTATTAGACGTATAGTCACTTATTGCTAGTCACCGAACATAACCTCACTTTTATTCTTTTGCACATAAACTTTGTTTGAAACAAAATACTTAACAAATTTCCACTTATCCTACTATAGAAGCCAAAACGTTATATAAAATTTTAGATTAATTATGAATAAATAAATTATGAATAAATTTAATTTTGATAAATTATTATTAATCATATCATAAGGTATAAATTCACTTTTATTCCTTATTTCTTTACACTCAATTCTGATACAAACCAGCTTTAGTAACATGATATAATTTTTATACATTTTTTCCCCTTTAAGGGTCTGCCAACTTAAATACATTGAAGCGAAGACATACTATACATACTTAAGTATAAAATTATTATTAAATGTTGCCCGAAGCATTTGTGTTTTCAAATTATTTCAAGCACCGCTGACACACCCGTTTGTAGTTCAGCTTTTGAAAGTTTTCAACACTCGTCTTTTATCCAGTGAATCCCTCTAATCAACTATGAATAATTTTCTTTTGTATTCGCGTTTTTTTTCTCACGCCTAATTTCAAGATAATTACGTACAATGAGTAGCGCATTTTATAAACCAGTAAAAGAGGTTCTCTCCAGTGGCAACAATTTCATTAGGCGGCAATATGTTAATCATTTAATAATACATATAAACATTTTAACTCACTATTCACATAAATTAAGTAATATACTTTTTTTCGTACTTACATACATACATCTGCTGCATACTTACATACATACTTACATACACGAAATGAAAGATATTATTATATCCACAGTATATCATACTTCTCTTATGAATTTAATATGAGACTTCCTTTGCAAAAAAACTTGAAACTTGTTCCTTTACATTTCAATAAAGATACTTAATGTATCTTTATCTTTATCACCAACATTAAGAAGCAATCTATGAAAGTTTAATTTTCTATAATATTAGAGACCCGAGATTTATGCTTCTTTTATTACAATTATTATTTATAATTGTTACAGCTTTTCAGCAATAAAATAATTATGATATTAAAAATAAGTTGTGAATTTAAAGTTTAGTTTGTTGATCTTTGCTGAAATGATGAAGTTGATTAATCTTGGCAAGGTTAGGAAATATAAAAATATGAAATAGCAGGATATATAAAAATTAAATGAAATTTATGGTGCAAAAAACCTTGCCTAATATTCATAAACTATAAACTGATGGGTGGTGTTTGTTTGTGTTCATGAATGCACACACAAACAGTACACTAAAAATGAAAGCGACATATTCCAAACACTAAATTGCATACTGTTTTCAACATCTCATGTGAAATTTTTAGTGTACTTTTTACGAAGGTGGTGAACTTTTTACAATCCTTTCTCGAAGTTAGTGAACTTTTGTAGCGATCATTTCTTGAAGGTAGTGTATTTTATTGTTTATTTATCAAAACATTTTGGAAATGTTTTTAAAGTGCAATGTTGTTTTGTTTACTTAAGAGGATACAAAAATTTTGTTTGCGTTTGTAGACACTAAAAATTTTATTGATGTATTTCGGACTTTATATAGTGTACTGTTGTAGTGTAGTGTTTTTTTACAAAAATATGAAACAGTACACTATTATTGGTACTTTACAGCTTGATTTCATTCACTGGTATACAATGATATGTTTACTTGGCGCAACTGATATGCACCAATAAGTACTATTTTTTATACAAAATCTATACATAATCCATATAAAAATGTGATAAAAAGATACGATAAGTCTAATTGTATAACTAATAAAAAACGTGAATTTAGGCAGGCACATGTTGGCATTGGTTCCTTTTATTTGAGAACAGACAATTTATGTTTTAATTATGATACTAGGAATATAGATACGGATAATTATCTTTTAATTTTAAAGATTTGTATCTATCTGAATTAGATAGATCACAAAATGTAATTGACACAGGGAAATATTAGCTTTACGAAACAGTAATATAAAATGATAGATATATTCTACGAACTTATATATATATTTATGAACATACGATATAAAATGATATATAGTAAGTAGTTTCCTTCTGAATCTTTGTAATACAAGGTTGTAGAGTATATAAAGTATATATTCTCAATTAGCTTGACCTAATAAATCAATGCAGATATACTAGTCTATTAGACTGTTTGCTGTTTTGATTACATTATAACAATATCAACGATAAGGAAGTGGTATCACTAGAATATTTATCCATTATCCATTTAAGTCAGTACGGTTTGGTTAATCGATGGGTTCAATTTTGTATTGCAAGTAATTAAAGTCAAAGCAAGAAATTTACTAACTTAATAAAAAATTTCTTTACAACGCTACACCACACATATCTCTAATGAACTAAGAAAAATTAAGAGAAAGTGACTGGAAAATTTTAACAACAATCACTCTGGATACTACATATCGTTATAGCGTAAATATGCTATTTTAAAACATCTCCATCAATCATAAATAAAAAAATTCCTTTAAAAAATCTTAGTCAATAACAATAACTCCACTTGAAAAATATCTCAGCTTTGGATATGAATGGATTTGAAATAGGTACGTAAAATCCTCAAGATGACAACACAATGGGTCAGCAGGCCCAATTGGATACCAAGTATCACCGTAAAACGTAAATATGCTTAAAAC